GTTCGTAAGCTATTTCCCGTTTAGACATCTGGAACCCGTTTTATTAGTCCGGCCTCACGTAATTCCTCGAAAATCGATATTATTTCGTTTGAAACGCCTGTATTACCAGCAGCCTTTGACGCTAGAAGTAGACGTAATCGATCGACCAACTCGTTTGGATTGTCCCAATACACTAAGTTATTTTTCTGTAATTTCATAGACAGTCCACTGCCCGAGGGAAATAATTTACTGATGATTGATGTATATTTAAAGCCACCCTTTTTTATTATTTTTCTACCAATAGTTATATGTGCTGATGTTTGAATCAATATAGATTTATACACACCTATATCGTTGTCGGTATAAACAAGAGGATTTTTCAAAAATAATAACTGAATAAGACCCGAGGTTAAGTCATAAACAGTACCGTCAATAAGTATAGTATTTTCGGTGAATTTTACTTCTTTATCGCCCAATATAATATAGCCATTTGGAAGTTTTTTCGGACCGTATATTTTATCCAAGTCTGTAGACTGAAGCCAATTTTCAATTTCCTGTTGATAGTCGTCCGCAAATGAGTTTTTCGACCTGACGTTAATATTTTCTTTGTTTGATGTCAGCCCAGGTTTATTCGATATTTTAGTTAATGGATCGATAATTGGTTTTAATGTCTGTGTCATTAATTGTTGAACATTATCCGAACCGGTTTTCAATGCGATATATTTGCGTTTAATACTTTCCTTAGCTTTGACAAGCTCATCTAGAACAGTAGTTGCTTCCGTCATGACTGCGTTATAAATGATAATATTTATTAATTGTATCGCCTTATATAACCACATAAGTATCAAACCCAAAACGATAACGTCCGTTATCACGCTCACAGTCTTTACAAATAACAATAAATGTAAACATCTCACGGTTCCAACATGTCATACAAAAATTTTTAAATTGTATATATGTCATGTCCCCTGAACAGTGCTCTTGATATATATGTTTTAAATTAGTTTCATCTTGTTTGAACAATACTATTAAATTTGCATTATCGCGTATCAGCTGTTTAGGTACTTTTGAATAGCTCTGAGCTAGATAAAATATATCAATTTTATTGTGGCGACCTCGAGAAAAATAATCTCTTATTACATTTTGTTGTTCGCCGATAACATCATCCAAGATAAAAATTGAGTTCGGTAAAACTTTCTCGGGTGGAATTACTTTATCATTCTCGAAAAAGGTAAAAATGTTGATACCATCAATACCGTCAATAATACGTTTCAGTAATTTATATTTTGGTTGTTCTAAGGTCTTAGAGTATATGTAAACGTTTTCAAATCGTAAACCGTTTTCATCGACGAGTAGAAAATACATCAGATTTGTTTTACCACATCCAGAGCTACCAAGTACCAACGACCTTATCGTATTTGGGAAAAGTTCACCATGTCTCAGCTGAATTGTCTCGGGGGTATCAATGTTATAAATCCGAAGTTTTTTCTCTTGTTCAATAAAGCGCATTTTTTTTTAAATTTTTCACTATAAATACAGATGCAAAGTTATCGAAAGCGTCACACGATGTCTCGCGTTCGTAAGCGAAACAACAATAAAGGATCCGGTCTTATTAACTCTGTTATAAATCATTTACCCGTGGAATTGCATTTACCTGGCTATAGGTAAGTCACTACATAATATTATTGTTATTAAATCCTGTCTACATTTTATATATATATATTTGTTATAGATTTGCCGGTCCTGGAACCAAATTAAAAGAAAGACTAGCGCGTGGAGAACGCGGAATTAACCGTCTGGATGAGTTGGCCAGAGCCCACGATATCGCATACGATGAAAGTAATTCACTAACCGATAGACACAGAGCGGACGAAGTATTAGAAAATCAGGCTTGGGAAGTGTTTAAATCAAAAAACACAGGTATCAAGGAAAAAGCTGCGTCTTGGTTGGTCACTACAGCCATGAAGGTCAAACGTAAGATGGGAGCTGGCTGCGGATTTAAACAAATGGTTTTGGCTGCTAAGAATTCGATCAAAAACAAAATGAACGAAAAAAATATAACTAAATTAGTAAAAACATGTCTGTCAGCTGCAAAAAAATCTAAAAAATCTAAAAACAAGAAGACTAAAACTCCAAGAATTATACCAATACCGAAAAGGGGCGGTGTCTTACCATTAATACCTATTTTTGCTGGTTTATCTGCATTAGGTGCACTTACCGGAGGTGTCGGTAATATAGTTAAAGTCGTGAAAGAATTAAATTCTGGTAAAAACACTCCTATTCATTTAGGCAAAGGCTTATATCTAGCACCTCACAAGGGTAGTTCTTATAAAGTCGTAAAAGGAGAAGGTTTATACCTAACACCATACAAAGGTGGATCAGTTAAGAAGTCTAGAGAACCACACAAGGGCGGATCAGTTAAGAAGTCTAGGTCAAAAAACTAATTGTTACGTTACCCGATAGAGCGTTGTTCGATTATGAGGTTATAAAATACGCAAACAAGTTGAAAATACCTCATTTCATTGGTGTATTTTCTAGAGACAAGTTGCCTCAACGAACGAAAAATCAAGAGTCAGCTGTAGTTAATTTAGATACTGAAATCGGCACAGGTACTCATTGGGTAGCGTATAAGAAAATCGGAAAACAAGTTAAATATTTTGACAGCTACGGAAACTTAGCCCCTCCGCTAGAATTACAGAAATATTTCAACGGGTGCAGTATCGAATATAACTACGATAGACATCAAAAATATAATACAACAAACTGTGGTCACTTGTGCTTACAATTTTTATCATGTACACTATAACGTTAACCGGCAACTCGAGTGAATTGTCATGCGACTTTTTTCCACCTATAGAAGTCAGTAAAAACGCGAAAATCTGTCTGCTGGGTTTTCAAACAAATAATTCTATACCTAATGTAAACGAGAAATGCAATAGAATAGGAATCACAAATAATATCTCAGGTAAGCGTACAAGCGAAAGCTATACAATACCCACTGGATCTTATGAGTTGAAGGAAATCGAAGCGGCAATAATACGTGTATTACCTAATTCAGATACTTTATTCGTGTTGAGAGCAGATAATAATACATTAAAATGCACAATGTTTTGTAGCGAAACTGTTGATTTTTCCATGTCTAATGGTATAGGAAAATTGTTAGGGTTTAAAAATCGTAAGTATAATGCTAATGTCAATCACGAATCAGATGCGTTGGTCAATATTACAAAAACAAACTGTATATATATCGACTCAAATCTGGTTATGGGTTCATTCGTTAACGGTAAGCAGTGCCATACAATACACGAGTTTTACCCGAATGTACCTCCAGGTTATAAAATAATAGAGGTTCCAACACATTTGGTATTTTACCCAATTAATTCTACATCTATAACGCACGCGAGTATAATTTTAAAAAATCAAGACAACGAGTTGATCGATCTACGAGGCGAGCCAGTATCGATACGATTATTAATTCAAGACTTGTGATAAACAATGGGTCTGCAATTTTGTAATATAAATAGGACTGCATATGTAAAACCTGTCACTCGTATTAAAACCACTAGCAAGGTAACATCTCCGAAGAAGAAGAAATATTCGAAACGTAAACAAGTTGATCATAGTCTAACAGCAGATAATTGGGCTTTTCTACGCTCGCTGAACGCTATTTAATATGGACGATTTGTATTTAGATGTAACGGCTGGATACACCGACGATTGTAAAATAACTCAAATTGACTATCATTCTTTTTTACCGTATTCAACATCTGCTCTTTCTAATAACGACGAGGTGCGTATTGCTCTGCATAACACAGAGTCTTATACATTACCATGTGAGAGTTATATTTACATCGAGGGGACAATAATCAAACCTGTGGAAATAACTGACGAGATTAGATTTATAAACAACGGACTGGCATTTCTTTTCTCTGAAATGAAATACGAAATAAACGGTACTCAAATTCAGAAACTCGTCAATCCGGGTATATCGACCACATTAAAAGGATATTGCTCGTATAATAAAACAAATATTTCATCGCATCATAATGCTGCTTGGGATAGCGAAATTAAATCTGCTAATAAAGATTTTATCGATAACGACCATTTTAACGGATGTATTAATCTTAAAGATTTGTTTGGTTTTTGTGAAGATTATAAGCGAATTTTAATAAACTGTAATCAGCAACTTGTATTGAATAGAGCATCGATTGATATGAATGCCATCAAGCAGTTTAAAAATAATGAAGTTGTCGCAGACGCTCCTAAACTAAAAGACGTTAAAATAAACATAACAAAAATATTGTGGCGGATGCCTATAGTGAGAGTTAGTGATAGAGAAAAAATTAGACTGTTGAAAGTAATCAACAATCAGAAACTCCTGACATGTGCGTTTAGATCGTGGGAACTGTGTGAATATCCATTTTTACCTCAAAACACTTCGCATTCGTGGAAAGTGAAGACATCCAACAAATTAGAAAAACCTCGCTATGTAATAATCGGATTTCAAACCAATAGGAAAAATAGCTCGATTAAATCAATGTCATATTTCGACCATTGTAAAATTAAAAACCTAAAAGTCTATTTAAACGCTGAAGTATTTCCCTATGAAGATTTTCAAAGTGACTTTACCAAGAACAAGATGGCGACATTATATCGCGCGTATGCCGAGTTCCAAAAATCTTACTACGGCCATGACGATGTGAAACCGCTATTGAATCGAGCAGATTTCAAAAATATGTCTCCAATTATAGTTGTTGATATGAGCAGACAGAACGATAACGTGAAAACATCAACCGTCGACCTCAGGATTGAACTAGAAGCAGACGAAGCGTTCCCAGCTTCAACATCCGCATATTGCTTAATATTACATGACCAAATTATAACTTATAATCCATTTAATGGAGAAGTAAGAACCTTGTAAATACTTATTGTAAACCTTACTATTATTTTAATAAATGAAAATACTTTTTATAAATCATGTTTTTTTTATTTCACATAAATTAGTTAATTTCCTATAAATATTAAAATAATTGACGTTGTACACAGCGAATTGGTGTTGGGTGTTGAGCGTAAGTCGTTTGAAATGGTGATGGTGTCCAGACTTGATCCGGTATCCATGGCCCGTCAATTACATCATGTGTGTTGTATGCTTCCAGATTTAGTAAAGATTCTGCTAGTTGTACAGCTGCGCACATTTGTATTTGACTAGTGAAGTTCGGCGAAGATTCAACCGTTCGATCGTCTTGCATGTTTTGAATGAATATTCTCATCTCATCGATATTTTTCGGTGGCGATTTATGAAGGACACATTTCTCATCTACGTAAGTCGCGAACTCCTCATACTGTTTTATAATTAATGGTGCGGTGAATACTTCTTTCCGGATAATACTTTCGAAAATACAACATTCAAGATATTGAAGACGCATAAGGTCCGCCAGATTCAGCAGTACTCTGCACCCGTCTCGAGTTTTTGATTCTATCACTAACACGTTTTCTCCGCTATACATCATATTCGATAGTTTTATCTTCAAGTCTTCATAAAATGTTATTCTCTTATACGTTTGCGGTTCAGTAGAAAAGATACGTCCCATATACGAAAATATTGTTTTTAAACAATCCGGAGTAATATGCACGTAACGCGATGATGTTATAATGTGTAACACAATTTTGAATTTTTCAGTCGGGTCAATACCGATGTGCACAAACTTACGGGAAGCAAAGTCGAGTGTGTAGCTTGTTGTTTCGATGAGCTCAGCAGGTGGTGACGGTGGCACATAAGTGAAGGGCTTTTTTTTGTATAACACTGCGTTGTCTTCGATTGCACCAGCCATGTTTTTAATAAATGTTTATTAGAAAAATAATAAAGACTTGGAAAAATTATAAACACTGAACCACTATTATAAAGACTTGGATAAACGCGGAGGAGAATCGTACATGTGTAAGTCTGTAGACAGACTGATTGAATGCTGACTCTTACGAAGCCCTATGGATTAATAACAATTACGTTACGTTGTAGTCATTTCTGAAATTTAACAATAAACGTGAATTTCGACATTTTTAAAAATACCTACAACGTAGTAACAATATTGGTATACGGTATATATTTATGATATTTAACATTATACGTTTATTTCGTGAATTTCGATAAAATCGTAATAATCTACACTGTACTAATAATTACGTTATGTTGTAGATATTTCTGATATTTTGCGATTTACGTTTATTTCGTGAATTTCGACATTTTTAAAAATACCTACACCGTAGTAACAATAGTGGTATACGGTATATATTTCTGATATTTAACAATATATGTTTATTTCGTGAATTTCGACATTTTGAAAAACCTACACCGTACTAATAATTACGTTATGTTGTAGATATTTCTGGTGGCGGTGACAGCTGCTGATAATTTGACGGTTGTTGATAATCGTTATCACTATTAGGTATACGTCACGCACGTGCCCAATAATCGTTATCAGTGGTAAGAAGTGGTTACTGATTAGGTTACTGATAAGGCCAACATATTATACTTCGCGCACGTGGCCGATAACTGTTATCAGTGGTAAGAAGTGGTTACTGATAAGGCCAAAATATACCTCGCGCACGTGGCCGATAACCGTTATCAGTGGTAAGGAGTGGTTACTGATAAGGAGTGGTTACTGATAAGGACTGGTTACTGATAAGGAGTGGTTACTGATAAGGAATGGTTACTGATAAGGCCAAAATATACCTCGCGCACGTGGCCGATAAGCGTTATCAGTGATAAGCGTTATCAGTGATAAGAATGTGCAGCGGTGCAGCGGTGCAGCGGTCAGAACCCCCATTTATATACTACTCCAATCGATGTTAGTATCTTGTCTTGTTCCAGATAAGACAATCACACGGAAAATCCAGATTACTTTTATTATACAACGCGTAAAAGACGTATAAAATACATAACAACATTGCCAGTACGGGAATTCATTCCTAGACGGGTATTATACCTAATGATGTTAGAATATTCGTTGAGGTACAACGATCACGTATACCAGTACACGATAAACAGTGATGGACCTACGTGTCTAAAAAACCATATGAGAGTAGCCAATGAACATTTACCGGTACCTTATACTACAGCGGAAATGCATAGAATTATGGAAATAATTACTATGACTCTCCGATTAACAATTTTAGTACGCGAAATACACGCACCCACATGTCTGGATTTGGCAAATTTAATAATCGAATTAATACAAGCCGCCGAGGCAGCTGAATAAAACTAACATAAGGGATTACATTTTAATAGATAGTAATACTAATATCTCGCAATGTAAAAATATTATCTAAATAAAGTTGTCTCACATTTAATCGTTATAAATATTTTACAGTGACAACATCAAAATCATAATAGTTGACTTCGAGTTCACTAGTATAAATAAGACGGATCTGTTACTTATATCGGGGTCATTATCAAACAGTCTCGACAAATATAAGCCAGTTAAACTCGAAGGCAAACCAATCGTGTTAACTACCACCAATAAATTAAAGATGTTACAGCATCGGGAAATCAAGCAGGTAATGCGTAGTGTTGGAAGGATATTTAGGAACAAGCCAGAGCAGTTAATACCTTTATTGGGGCAGTTAGAATCAAGTCTAAAGCTCAAGGGGGCGACAACTCTGTCTACCATATATCTCAACCAATACTTGCACACCGACGGAAGAACACCAATCATTGTTTTTTTCAACGGGACAACCGATAAAAATATAATAACCCGATTACAATTAAATGTAAAGAAAATGTTGGATATCACTTCCAGTGGCGTACATACGGGGGGGGTTTTCGGGTTCAAACCCCCCCCAGGACCAAAAAAAAATAATGTGATATTATTGATGAATTTCTTATTATTAATCAACCGTGTATACACAAATATACGTCATTATAATATGACTATTGAGCAAACAGTAAACATTATACCAAACCAACAACGAAAAAAGATTTCATAACGAAATTATGGGTGCCGTATAATATGGTATATCAATCAAAATAGACATTATTTTGATCGTACACAGTCAGTTGCGTGCGGATATAAATACATATTAATATTGTCTTTATCTCGACCGACTCATTATAAACACACAAGACTTTGAGTTTTTTTTTTTTAACTCAGTTAAGTTAATATGCATACACATATAGATATAGTATATTATATTGTATTTTTAAGTACAGAAGTTACCTATCACATAAGTAATAAGTAATAAATAATAATAAATAAGTATTATATATTTTAGTTGTCTTTCAAACAGATATTATTTGTGTACATCATAATACGATGAGTATTGAGTAGGTATTTTTAATTTTAATGTTTAACTATCAACGTGAATACTGTTAATAATAATTAATAATCTCACAAAACCGTAAACCATAAAATCAATAGGTAATTGATTTATTTTTTTTTGTTTATTTTTAGATTTTAGTGTCGGCAAACTATATCATAATATTATGTCTATATTTTTGAAATTTTGACATGGCAAAAAAATAGACTCAAATAAAAAAATGAAAAACAAAATAAATTAACTTACAAATAAAAAATTAATTCGTTAATTTAACGTTGATTAAAAAATAAATTTAGTAAATTAGTAGTTAAGTTAAAAATTATTATTATCACAGCATAATCATTATCATTCGATTTCGATATATTTTAGGTTTTGAAGGTAAAATAAATAGTAATCATGGCTGAAAAAAATCAATCGAAACTGCAATCTTTTTTTTCGAAACCACCCTCAATAATGAATTCATTGTCAAATTCATTAAATGCAACTCAAACAGTTATAAGTTCCTCTAGTTCCTCATTACCATCAACTGAATCTGCATCTGATACACCTATCACTCAGTTTACACCTTCGACTACAGATATTAATCGTACATCTTCCAGTTATAATATTTTTGACATTGCTCATTACACAAATAAATTGTTAACGCAAAGTGAAATAGAAGAAATTTTGAGCAAAATTTGGGTACCTGATATTAATTACAATTTTCTTATCAAAATATCAGTAGTCGGTAAACAACAAAAAGTTTTGAGGTTGAAATTTCAATATAAATGGCTAATTAACTTTCCCTGGTTGGCCTATTCAGAAGTAAACAATGGTGCGTATTGCAAATATTGTGTTGCTTTTACTAAAAATGAAGCCGGTGTTAATAACCAAAAATTGGGAGCATTTGTATTAAAAAAATATGATGATTGGAAACATGCATTGGAAGACTTTAAAAATCATTCGAATTTAGAATATAACAATCAATAGAATTTTTATTATAAATAATTAATAATATAATATTTATAATATTCTGTACTTACTATGTGCATATTAAATAATATTTAACTGCCATAAGTTACTTAAACCTTTGTATTTGTTTTACTATTTTGCCTATTAATATTTATACGTGTAATGTGTTTGATTGTTAGGAAAATGGGTAGTTGCAAAGAGAAAGTTTTAGTGCTGGTTATTTTTTTTAAACCTCCCCCAGAGCAAATTTGAATGTACGCCACTGATCACTTCATATAGTGATAACGACGATAATTATTTTAATTTAAAACTTCTAGATGTAACAGGACCTACCAAAAAATTAATATATTCAACTAAAATAGGTTACTACCAGAAAAACGGAAGAATGCTGAATCTAATGGAAACCCATGATTTAATATGCAAAATAAACCATGATATAACCCATAGCCACGACCCAGTAGCGGATGTAATTATCACCAAATGTTTGTTTAACTATATTATCAGGGATATGCGACCAATACAGTTATACAAAGTATGTAAAACAGATAGGTATACAATAAAATAATCATAGTAATCAAAGAGTGTCAATTCAATAGTGTAGACTATACCTATAACTGGGAAATCAGGGAGCTGACAAGATTCTACACAAATTGAATGGACATACTCTAGGTAAACAAATTAACTTTCTTTTCTTTTTATTATATATATATATATATATATAGGCAACATATATAAGACCAATAGATTACAGGAATGAATACATAAATATGTAATAATAATAATGTGAAATTTTATAAATTATAATAGATTAAGTATTTAACCACAAATGTATAGCCACTATGTACTAACACTAGAATAAGAAGGAAATGTAAAACAAAACAAAACAAAACAAAAAAAAATGTATTAATATCTAACAATTATTATGTGCTTAACCCAATGTATCACTATTTTATAATCAGATGTACTAGATTTCTAAATGTAACAAAGTATCACTACTTCATATAACAATGTATCACTATCTTATAACCAATGTATCATATTATATGTAAAATTGTTATAATACCGTAAAATGTTAAAGATTTATGTTTAAGCTTTTAAACATAAAGTCTTTTTTTTAGAAGGGAGGTGTTACGTACCTACGTATTTAGTAATTAAGTAATAACAATGTACGACGTAGCGCAGGTTTCTAATAGTACTCGACGATATAATTAATAAGGCAATTAGTATATTATAACACGTTAGGGACACTGTAAAAGTATCTCTCTAGGAAAGTCAAACATTCATACGAAGGATACGAGTCGACCAGCATACCAAGTACGAGACCCGGACGCAGTCTCATGACCGAATTTGGCCATTGATACAACCACCCACTCCAAAGGACTCGATCATATAAATACCAGCCCGGGACAAGAGCTCGGCAGACGGTTAGGGATACTCAAGACACTTGGAGGCAGGACGTAAAACCACTCACAGTCTTAGTATCATTTTGGAGGCAGGTCGTAACACCACTCAAAATCTTAGTAACAATTCAGAGTCAGGTCGTAACACCGCTCACCTCTCTACATAA